GGCAAGCCTAGCTCCCATGTTCCCCCTCCTTTTGGAACCACCCCAGACCTTTGATGAACATCTTCCGAATTGTCTCTTCGAGCACATCTGCGGGTCCGACCAAAGTCTCTCCAAAAACCTCAAGACCCACCCGAATAGTAAGGAATAAGCTTCTTTCTGCCAGTCGAGTTGGTCTATGAGAGAAATTTCCACAGAAAGTCTTTTATACTAATTTTACCATTTCCACGAAAGCACTGTCTGTGTGGGTTCAAAGTATCATGTTGTGATCCTTTTTTTGAGTGGGAATTCCAACCTTGCCAACCTGAACCCGCATTCATATACAAAGCCTTCTTCATCTTCTTTCGTGTCGTGTGCTCAATTGATTGAATGAGACACCGATTGGTCTTTTTTAAGATCGGGAAGATCATTTATGCGTAAAGTTGAGTAGTACGAAAAGAAAATTTGAGAAAATTAAGGCTATTCTTCTCCTGTTTTGAACAAGTAGCGATTGAGAACAACCCTCAGTCAAGGTCGAGAGCTTAGCATCAGGATTTCGGATTTCTCTCCAAACCTACGAGGACGCATGACTGGTTGACGTGCTATTTCGCAATAGGAAGGTTCAGAAGCATGGGGATCCCATTTCTGTGCTCGGTCTTCTTCAGAAAAACGCTTGCCGTGAAGAGGAATGATGCCAGAATAAGTAACGAAAGGAGAAGTAAAAATAGGTTAGGAAATCGATGCAAAAACTTCATCTGCCTCAGGGTGTCCACATAATTTTGATACAAAGAAAAAACTTTCCATGAAAAATAGTTCGCTAAGTTAGAACGAAATCTTTTGCCGAAAATGTCATTGTAGGTTATCGACCACTAGGAGTTGAATGGTGAAGGTTTCATAACACAAAAAGCCTTTAGCTGACTCCTGAGAATCGATTCTAGGGTGTCCACATACTTTTGGTACGCACTGTATTATAGGGTCTATTCCAGTTAGGGGGCATCATGATGCAGTTTCTCGGCGAACTAGTGTGAACTCGAACATTCCAGCTTTTCACGCATGTCAAGTGACTGCCCTCACCCCCACCCCCTACACTCCCCCTGGCTCGGAGTTACCCTAGCTTTCTGGAAAAACTGCATCATGATGCCCCCCCCTAACTGGAATAGACCCCTATTATGTTAATATTATTATGTAAATTTATTTCCCTTTGCAATAAATTTAGGTATTGTTTTTTACCTGTTGTCTCTTTAGCACAATATGACGGAACAAATACATTCGATAAAAGTGCAAGATACATGGCGGGGTATGGAAGGCGTGTATAAGAAGGGACTTGCTAAAGCTATAGGCGTCTCGAACTACAACTGCGAACAGATCGAACGGGTCGTCAAAAGCGCTACGGTGCCAATCCACAATTGCCAGGTACAGCAACAAGACTGTATTTGATTCTTTGTTTACTGAGAAGGTCACTGGTTATTGTTAAAGGTCGAACTTCATCTGTATTGGCCTCAGCACGAGCTGCATGAGGTTTGCAAGAAGCACAACATTTCTGTCACATCTTATGGCTCCTTAGGATCACCCGGTCGAGTCGGTTTCAAGGCTTTGCCAAAGGGACCGTGAGTTACCATTATCGCGAAAATTACTGAACACCTTTCAGTGCTGAGTGAATTGAGGGGAAACCACACGGCGGCGCCGTTTTTCAAGCGTGGTGGGGCTAAGCTTGAACCTATGAGAGAGTGGTTGTGAACTTTATGATTTGTGATTGAGATTTTGGCATATCTGAGCCTCCTTCTAGGTTCAGGCCCAGTGCCATTGCGTTTGACAGACGTTGCGCCGTAACATGATCCCCCTTCCCCCGATCCTCAACTCACCTAGCGCCCAGGTGCCATATATCATGCAAGGTGTAGCAACAGCAAAGCAAGAAGCAGCTTGGACTGTTTTGAATGTTGTCGTCAAATGATCTGTGAGGTATGCATTGCAGTCTGTACAACTCAATTGACGACGACTTCCAAAAAATAGTGATCGACTGCGAAAAGTGACAGGTGATACTTGGGAAATGGTACTTGTTATTAGTGGCAATTTGGAGGCAAATCACTGCCAAACTAGCGCCCAGTGGTGCTAGACTGAGATATTACATTGACGAAAGTGTAAGGTCCATTTAATCGCCAAAAAGCCCTGGTCCAGGCGATAGCCTCGCATTGATTGACTCTTCGGAAATGATTGATTGTTCAAGCTCATACCCTTGCGCTGTGTGCGCTGCCTTGAGATAACTTCTTACAAACTCGTTGATTCAAAACAAAAATCCATATTTAGTATCAACGTTATA